GCTGCACAAGCTCTCGGCGCTTCAACAAAAGAGCGTCGACCCGGAAGAAAAGTCATCGGATGCATTTTAGTTTTATTTTCCACCCCAAAATAAAGAAAAAGTATCAAGTGGTTTGTGTTAAAAAGGCGCGCTTCTTTTGTGTCGCTGAACGCCCGGCGGGCGCCGGTGATGCCGCGCCGCCCAACCTTGACACAGATCCCCACGGCAGGTGGAGTAAAAGGGGTGGGGGTGGGGGTTGAGGAGGAGGGGGGTAGGTGGTCGCTAAGGGCTCGGGGGTCATAAGTACTGCCGGGATGCCAAGGGGGTGACACTGCAGTGAATTAAGGAAATGCGCGCAAGAAAGTGTGTGCGACACGGCGGGGTTACATGGAGGTCGGAGAAGGGGGTAGGTGGGGACGTTCGTTAAGCTCGCGCCTGACATTGTGCACCCCCATTCCCCCCCTATACCCACCCACCCCAAACAGGCGCCCCGCAGAGGTACCGACTCTGCTGTGGTTTACCAACCCCCATGTAGTACTTTCGCCCCCTCCCCGCCTCTCTCTCTCTAAACTACCGACACAGTCCGTGTCTTTCTCCACCCCTAAATCATTCTCGCCCCTCACTCATCTACCCCTCCCCCTCTTCGCGTAGCTCTCTAACCTGCCCCCCTTTCCCCGACGGCACTCCAGTTCTTGTGTTGACACAGCAGGTAATCTGCAGCCTGCTGGTGGTGGAGGGCCCCGTGCGCCCCGTGGGCCGTGGGTAGGAAGGGGGCCGCCGAGAGCCCCACTTTGGACCCCGTGCGGACTTACCTCCTTCCTTCGTTGGACTTCAACGCCGGGGGTCTGGGAGGTCCGGAGCCATTTGCCTCCGCCGAGAGGAGGACGGACCGAGGACGCCGTTTGCGGAAAGCAGGAAAAAAAATAGGCAAAAAAGGAGAAAGCAGGTGCGGTCGATGCAGCCCGCTGAAAATAGGAGGAAAACGACGTAGTTACTCGTCTCGTCTGCAACCTCTGCCGTACTTCGTCCGTATATAATTGCAATTAAACGTGCGCGTAGGTGTTTTGCAGACCTACAGCCAGCAAGACCTGTTGTGACACAAGCGGCTCAGACAATGACTGGGTGGGTGGGCGACCTGGCCCTTCCCCTCCCTAACCTCGACCCGCCACAGACCATGTCAACCCCCACCCCTCCTTGCTTGGTGGCGGCTGCGTCCAGGTTTGCTGGGCCGTCCGCCGGATGCGCCGCTGCGCTGGCTGGGGCAGGGCGGGCGGGGGAGCGCCACCGCCGCCGCTGCTGCTGTGGACGCAGATCGGGCTGAAACGGGATTAACGCGGGATTAACATGTCGGGGTCCCGCGCGGCCGCTCTGCCGCCGTCCCTTTCTATCCGCCCCCTCGTCCACTTGTGCCCGCTTGTGCGGTCCTCCTCTCTCCCTACAGAGGTGAGCGCGCGTGTATATTTATGTGTTTGGGTGTGTGTGGCCGGGCGGGGACAGCACAGCCCTTCGCTCTCGCCCCCGCGGCGACGACGCCAACAGCGCCAACGCCGTGTCAGAATCTCATTTCGCGCGCACAAAAACGGGTTTGGTGTGCTATATATAGCTGGGCGCCCAGAGCTTGATTAATACAGTCGACGACGTCCCGGGAAGCGCTCATTGTGACCGAAAACCATCGGAGTGTGGAGGAGATAGCGCCGCTCTCGACGATAGGCTGTGCCGCATCGCGTGCCCGCGGGTGGGTTGCCTACGCCCACGGGGCCATGACCGAAAGACCACGTCCACTTTGTCTGTAGACTGTGACGAACATAAAAATATTCGTAATATTTAATAAACGTTTCTAAAGTAGTGTGTTGTATGAAAAGAAGGATGGTTGATGGCCTCGGCCAGGAGTTTCGGTGGTTAGTTTTCTAGGTTCAAAGATTTTATGACTTTGGCACCTTTTT